GGGGGGTATTTATGCGGCCTGGGCCGTCGAGGGGGCATGAGCTGCCTCGAGGTCCTTCTCGCTGTTTGCGGGCGAGAACTTGGCGTCGACGGAGGCCTGTGCGTGCGAGACCTCGGCGCCCTCCTCGGGCCTGTGGAAGTCGTGCAGCAGCGGGAGGGTGAAGACCTCCTCTCCGATCTGGGCCAGGTCGATACCCAACGACTCGTCCTCTTCCGACGCACGGAAGTGGCAGCCGGGAATGCGGTCGATGGCGAACAGCAGGATCAGCGTGAGCACAAAGCTCCAGCCGAAACCCGATGCCGAGTCGGCGAGCTGGTAGCCGAGCTGGATCCAGTTGTGGTTGATCCATCCACCGGGAATGGGCGACGAGCCGTCGAACGACGCCACGCGGTTGTCGGCGAAGAAGGCAGTGAGAATGTTGCCAACCATACCGCCGATACCGTGCGCCGCAAAGATGTCAAGTGCATCATCGTAGCCGAGCACGTTCTTGAGGCCCGTGGCAAAGTTGCAGGCGGTACCGCCGACGACACCAAAGGCAACGGCAGCGGGGGTGCCCACGTAACCGGAAGCGGGCGTGATGGCCACGAGACCCGAGATGGCGCCGGAGCAGAAGCCGACGGCGGACCACTTGCGCTCGAGCCTCCAGTCCCAGAACATCCAGGTGAGTGCACCGACCGACGCGGCGACCTGGGTGACCATCATGGCCTGCACGGCACGCAGGTTGGCGCCGAGCGCCGAGCCGCCGTTGAAGCCGAACCAGCCGAACCAGAGGAAGACGGTGCCGAGGATGCAGTAGCCGACGTTGTGCGGGCGGTATGCCAGCTGCTCCGAGCCGTAACCCTTGCGCTTGCCCAGGAAGATCGAGATGGCGAGCGCAGCCGTGCCGGACGAGATGTGCACGGGCGTACCACCAGCAAAGTCAAGACCACCCATCACGTTGGACCAGCCAAGACCGACGTTCCAGGTCCAGTAGGCGATCGGGTTGTAGACGATCGTCGTCCAGCAGAACGCAAAGATCATCACGGGCCCCAGGCGGGCACGGTCGGCGAACGCACCGCACGCGATGACCACCGTGATGGCGGCGAACATCATCTGGTAGATGCAGTACAGCAGCTGCGGCAGCACCGTGCCTCCAGACGAAGGACCAATGTCCACACCCATCAGACCAAAGTTGTCCAGGTTCTGATCACACAATGCAAACGACATTGTTAGGTCCAGCTCATGCTCTGTTGGACAAAGGGAAAAGACTTACGCCGATGAACTTGTTGGTCGAGGTTGGCGAGAAGGCGAGCGAGAAGCCCCAGAAGAACCATTCGAACGTGACGACGGCCATCAGGCACATGGACATCCACAGCATTGACAGCGCCGACTTTTTACGCAGCAGACCCGAGTAGAAGAATCCGACGCCGGGGATCATGATGAACACGAGCGCCGTCGACACGATGATCCACGCCATGTTGCCGAGGTTGTAGATGATGTCCGTCGGCTCGCCGGCGACGACGGCGTTGGTGAGGATGTTGCCATCCGCCATGTTGGTTGCGTTGACCATCTCGGGCTAGATTGAAAGGCTGCGTGCCTTTTGTATCTCGACCAGCGCTCGAGATCGAGGGAAAGGAAAGAAAGGTGGGGGGAAGGGGGGCCCAATGGAGCGGAAGGTTGCTCTCTTTTTTAATGAGCTGCGGGAGGAGACCGGACCGTCAGGTCAGCAAGGTGCTCGTGGCGTGGGGCGTGGGGCGTGTGGTGGGGCTGCTTCGAGTCCGGGCGGCGTGGGAACGTTGATCAGCCAGGGCTATATATGCTTCCAGATGAAGACACGGCGGGCGGGCGTGGGTCAGTCGACGTCCGTTGGTCTGGGGGGCGCGGTTGCCGCCGTCGAGTCGGTGGGGCACTGCAACTGTCATTCGCGCACGATGGGCCGTTTCAGGAACGGGGATGAGAGGGCACAGTATCTAATCAAGCGAGATCTGCGTTTGCGGAACGACAACACTGCACAATGCTTCTCAGCAGCAACCGTTGGAGCGGACAGTGGGCACGGTACGGAGCGCGAGGACAGCAAGGGGATTGGCGCTCCGACGCCCGCATCCAACGGGCATCTCGCTCGAAACTGCGGTCCAAGACGATAGGAAGCGACCGGATCACCTACCCCTCCTCTACCTGCACCGCTCCGAACCCCGCTGCCTTGATCTTCGCTCATCTCGTCCCCCATCCCATTGGATCCGCCAAGTAACCAAGCCATCTTGGCAAAGTTCGGCTGGGCACGAGCTTGTCTAAACTGGGCTCGCTGGTGATACACCGGGGCATCTCGGAGACGGCTTGGCTTAGGCGAGGTGTTGCCAAGACGACCAAGCCTCGATCTGATGCGGGGCCGTCATTTCACGCTTGCTAAAGGGATCGCTCAATTGCGAAGCGGAACAGGGCGGGCTTGGAGTTTGAAACCGACCAAGAGACCAAGCTTGACAGAAGCGTCGAGGTGCGAGCCGAGCATGAGTCTGTTATCTCTCGGATGCACATTGCGGTACCTGCATCTACAGCTGTTCGCCTCGGCACCGCAGTCCGCCTGCGCCCAGTCACGATGGGTGTCCAGCCCTACCTTGGGTCGCGATGAGCCTGGTAAAGCCGGAGGGAAGGAGGGTTTGCTTATCGGCCAGCATCGCGGGCAAAGCGAAGGGAGGACGCGGGGGATGAAAGTCGGCACGGCGGGCGAGTTGAGTGGTTCTGGGGTGCGGAGAGCGTTCCTGATGGAGCTCGTCAGAGATAAGGGGCGTGCCGGTATGGGCGGAGCGAGCGAACTCAGGGTTGCGAGGCAGGGTTTGAACGCCACATGCACATGGCAGCCGCGTGGGGGTTGCTCGTCGAGATAAGCTTTGCCGAGACGAGGCGCAACTCGACTTCTGCACGCACACCGATAAGAGCCAACTTTCAGCCTCCGCCGCAGCAGCTCGACGCGTCGCCCGCCGGGAGAGCCAGTCGTATATAATCTCGACCCGCTCTCCTGGCTCATCTGTGCGAGTCGACTCGCGGTCTGGCAGCTGAGTTGGACCGAGCAACGGTTGCTGAGGCAGCGTATCATCGCAGACTGAACGGAGCGTGTGAGTCAGTTCATGGTGGGATCGATGAGCACCAAAATGAAGCAGAGTGTTCGCTCGGCAGAGCAGTGTTGGATCGGGTGGCAT